GAGCCTGCAGGAAAGTTTCAGAGGCCCCAAGGGCACGGCAGGGTAAGTCAGCCTTCTGAGGGGCACGCCCTAAATAAATCGAAATTTAAGGGGCATACTGAAACTTGTCCCCCCCAAAAATTCACTATATGCAAACTACAAAACATAGCTATGTACATTTGTCTCTCTCAACTCAGATATTTTGCCATTTCATTTCATGACCTACCACTACTTGTAAGGCTATACAGGGGATCCCTGCAAGCACAACTTTCTACCTCTCTTCCGTGAAGGGAGGTTACCTCTTTCGGTGGAGGGAGGTAACGGCATGGTTGCCCCTTTGCCCTAACGTTTCGGGTGCAGGGTTAAGGCCACCGGTGGGGGCCCGACTAACACAAGGACCGAGCATTTGCAAGTAACTGTGCCTCCTTTTTCATCTTCCCCCGCCCCCATCAAATAGCAGTAGTGTCTAAAGCCAACGCTCTTCCACACATCCACAAACAACTCACTCTCACACGCGCACTCACACCCATGTTGGCTAAGGGTACCTTACTAATACCGAATGGAAGGATCCACTCCAGCTGACTGTCTATCTCAGTTGGTTGGCACCAAGAGTGCGGCAGGTGGTCAGTGGGGATTGAACCCACGACCTCCTGAATGTCACTTGCGTGTCTAACCAACTGAGCAACCGTAGGCTGTTGGTTGAGAAGATAATCGAGGTCGGGGTCCTCGCAGTCTACCCGGGTGGAGGTCCCACTAGCAGAGAGGATTGGATGAAGCTCCTGCATCTGCTCGTGTTTTGAGAAGAGATGCAGAAAAGCAGGTGAATCTCGATTGTTTGCATCTTTCCATAAACTCGTCTAGATTCACGTGCTCAATCCAATTCTCTTTGCTAGTGGGACCTAGCCCCGGAAGAGGTAGCTGCTGGTAGTATTACCTAGTTTCGATTGACAAGCATCTAAAGGAAAATTTTGTCTGGTGCCCCTATATTTTCCATTAATTTGTGTCGCGCCCCTTCGATAACTGATTTACCTTGGCGCGCCCCTCTAATCAAGAGTCAAATTTTTCATAAAACCCTGGTGTCATTTGGGCCTCATATGTTTTCGTAGTGCCCCTACTGTACCCACATCAAATTTGCATCATGCCCCTTTCGGTACCATCGATCTTTTCAATGAGCCCATGTCGCCGTTGGAGGTACTCAGGGGAATTTCCACGGGGCCTAGGAACGAGCTACCGGAGCATGACAAAATTTGTGAGTGTCCCCATATTTATGTCATGCCCTTGCTTTTGTGCAACGACACCATGCAAGTGTGGCAGTGTATATTTCGATGTTCTAGCGGTAGATTCATTCGATTTGCTCATCGTATAGATGGAAGTAGCATGAGGTCAGCCTCGAGGTTGGAGACTTACCTAATCTCTCTCTCTCTCTCTCTCTCTCTCTCTCTCTCTCTCTCTCTCTCTCTCTCTCTCTCTCTCTCTCTCTCTCTCTCTCTCTCTCTCTCACACACACACACACACACACACACACACACACACACACACACACACACACACAAACAAACTCGCAGGGAAGAGAATGACATGAACACACGCATAAGAACAACGACGAAAATGAAGAGGGCGGTCGACACTCACCGAGCTATGCTAGACGTCGAGCGAAAACGAAGACAGGAGGTTGGCCTTCATTAGCGTTTGTGCGTCAAGAAAAGTAGCGACGACATGTCAACAACAACGGGGTTCGAAATTGAATTCACCTCATTGCTGCAGGGGTAGCACAGGAAGATGGGTGCCCCTTACGAGGGCATATGGCGCAAAACCCAATAGAATGGGACCGCCAGTTGAGGGAGGGCGTCCTCAAAAGTTGCGCCCACTACTGATAAGGGTCTGTCGAAAATATTTTTAGGCCCAGGGGCACGACAGGGTAAATCGACTGTCCGAGAGGCACGACGCATATTAATAGAAAATACAGGGGCGCTCGACAAATCCCTCCCCCCCACACCCCAAAATCGATGTTTTATCGATGCCCTGTCCAACTCCATCTCCAGCGCATCATCCCTATAGAATCCCATCTTCTCCTCCAAAGTTACTGCAGGTTGCCCCTGATAATCAAGAGCGGGATAATCCCACAACACCCCTGTATCAAGGACCGAGGGGCAATGCCCCCGATCAGTCTCATCAGGTATATTGTCGCGCCTAGATTTCGCCAGTCGGTCACCCACACATCAACACCCTGCCCTCCTCAACCCAACTGGATTACTGACAAACAGTCATTGTCAACCAAAACCGGTGGTGGCTAGGGATCGACCAGGTCCCAACAACGTGCCCCACTAGCGTCCCAGCGCTCTGCCCTGCAACGCCATAGCCTCCCCGACGTCAAGTTTTAGCAACTCAGGGTTTCAAGCTGCGAACGGGATTCTTCGTTGTTGCTACAGCTCCTACTTCGGGCGTGATGTCAATTTCATTTTCCGAATCGTCGCTGATACTGACCGACTCTTATTTGTTTCGTCCGAGTACACAAATATAATCGTCAAATAGAACTGCCCGGTAAACCGTAGGCAGAGAGGGAGAAGAGGACAACAAACGAGGGGCTGTGACAAACTGTTTCGTCGGAGTTTATATATATATATACATATATATATATATATACATATATATATATGATGGGGTGTGAACCGACAGTCTGTAGAGTTTTCCATCTGGTGTGGGTGAGTGATAGTCTACTTTGATTTTGGTTAATGTAGATTATCATTTACAGTGTAATCAGTGAGGGGATTCTGCAGACTGTTGAGGGTTCAGCCTCCT